CCTTACCTTCTAACACCCTAGCCCATGGGATAGCTCCAAGTAGGTCCCGGAAGAGATCAAAGTTGGCTCTCTGGCAATCCTACTTTTTGCTTTGCTTCTTCCATTCAAGTTCTTGAACGCCACCACCTCGTGGTCACTACAACCCAAGCTGCCCCCGACCTTTACTTCCTTGACGAGCCCCTCCTTATTAGTGAGAATAAGGTCCAGCAACACCCCTCCCCTTGTCGGTTCCTCCACCACCTGCATCAGAAAGTTGTCTTCAACACATTGCTGGAACCGTCTGGACCGCGCGTGCCTGGCCATGTTGCTTATCCAGCAAATATCTGGATAATTGAAGTCCCCCATAAGCACCAGCGCCTGGGATCGTGATGCTACTTCCAGTTGCTTATGGAAGGCCTCACCAACCTCCTCCTCCTGATCAGGGGGCCTGTAGTACACAGCCACAACAGTGTCAGCCATACCAGCCCACCCCTTGATTCTCACCCACAAGCTCTCCACTGCTACACCACTCTCCCCCAGGTGGAGTTCAATACATTCTAGCTGCTCTCTCACATAAAGAGCAACTCCACCACCCCGCCTCGCCAGCTGATCTTTCCTAAAAAGCACATAGCCCTCCATGACAACATTCCAGTCATGCAAGCTGTCCCACCACGTCTCCATGATTGCAGTCATTTGTCTCTATTTATGTAGGAAAAAAAATATATAATTTTGAAGAAAACTTTGAGAAGTTGGGAATGGCACCATCTCTGGGCATTAGTATGCATCACAGACTATCAAAGCTTCCTGTCTTTGTAAAGAAGTTAACTGACTAATTTCAGCTGAGGATTTCTGAGGCAACCCAAACTACGGTTGTGGACCTGATTCTTGAAAAGATATAACAGAAGCCTTCTTGCTGGTCTAATGACAGGGAAAAAAACAAACAAACAAACAAAAAAAACAACCCAGAAGTGTCTCTCTTTAATCTACCTTCAAAAGCTTTAGAACCTAAAATATGGTTGGGCATAAAATAGCTCTTACTCTTGTAGGAAGTTAAAAGTCTTAGGTAAGGAAACATGCCCTTCTTTATTCTCCCCCAACATACATCCCAAGCCAGACCGTCCTAACCGTTGCAAGTGAAAAGTCTTCATAAACATTACAAGTTTTAAGGATCATAGCATTATAAAAAAAAATCAGAGTACCAAAGAAATTATAAATAGACTTTGTAGCTATCACTCCTCGCTTTTCTAATTCCTCAAATTGGATAGATACATCTTCTAAATGAAGTTTAAAAAAAAAAGTTATAGTGAATCAAAAAAAAAAGCAAAGCTAGAAACAAATTTGGGAATCTGCGTTAGGAACAAGCAGTACTTTGGCTTCCAACTTTATATCAAATTCACGGTAAAAGTGTTCTCAAGTATAATGGGCTCACAAAAAACCCTTCAAGTTGGAAGTTCACAGCACAAAGGACCATATGTCTTCATGCACTGATGTAAACCCTTCTAATTAATATTCTTTCCTCCTTCTTTGTTGAGTCCTTTAAGTTCTCTGTATTTGTTTCTGAGTTTCTTTTCCTCTATGAAGAACAATGAGTTCAGAGGAACTTGTCAACATCGCAGAACATGTGGATGTATTCTCTCACTGATAAACGAGTTCAGAAAGTTTCTTCCATGTCATGATTACTTATAACAATTTGGTAAGAAAGCACTTAACATTTTTTTTTCAGTCAGAAAACTTTTTAACTAGAAAATGAAAAATACAAGAGAACGTAAAAAAGGCAGATTTAACAAGATACAAACAAGATAGTTTTAATCAAGGTGAGATGCTCTCTTCTACCACCAACTTATACATTCAGCATTACACACTTTTGTGCTTTAGATGACCTCAACTCTTACAAATATAAGGGATAGAAAAGGAAGTTCCCTTAGCTAGAATGATATGTATCCCAGATTTGAGGGGGTGCAAGGTTAGTGCTGAATGTTCAGTATTTCCTGTGTTTTATCAGGATGTGTACTATTGCCTATTATTAATGAGGAAACTAAGAAAGGAAGTCCAGGTTTCTCTACCAATTTAGATGAGATGGAATCTAGTTTACTATCTCAGATAAACTGTAAGAAGTCCCTCCAGCAAAACCTTCAAACAATTTCCTGATAACACTTGGGATAAAAAAAACATAATGCAACACTATAAGTGACATTGTTATACACAGTTTACTTTTCTCTGTTTCTCAATTAATTCAAACTGATGAACAACACAATGACAAAAGCTATTACTTGCTGTATCCTCTTCTGACATTACTAGTTTTCAATTCATCTTTCAGATGTAGAAGCCTTCTCCAACCTCAATATTTGTCAATGTACTCCTTCAGAAGTTACAACTTCATGCTTTCTCCCACTTTTAGGTTTATAGAGATTGCTTTCCAGGGCACAGTATCACCTAGTTTCAGGTCTCATGGTTATGGAGGTACTACAAAATAACTACAGGGTACTGAAGCACTGGAACAGGATGCCCAGAGAAGTGGTGAATGGGTATTCAAGGTCAGGCTGGACAGGTCTCTGAGCAACCTGATCGAGCTGTAGATGTCCCTGTTCATTTCAGGGGAGCTGGACTAGATGACCTTTAAAGTCCCTTCCAGCTCAAACGATTCTATGAACTACAAACAGGTTAGCATAAAACAGGACAATGTCCCACAGAGCACTGAGTTTTGGAGTAGAGTTAAAATAGTTGCACACAAATAAAAGCTAGAAGATTGCAGGACACCAGCAGAACAACCACAATATTTTCAAGGTTCAGCCTACTCTAAGATATGGACAAGACAGAAAAGCTGCCCTGGTCCTCCCCATTTCCTTCAGAGGAATTTTACTGGAGATATAAAAATAGAAATCTTCCTAAATGATTTTCCCAATCACTCTCTCAAAGTAGAAAGGCACAACAAGCAAAAAGAGCAGTTTAATATAAAAGTTAAAACTTACAGTGTCTGAACTTCCTTCTAGCAGTATGTTGATTGCTCTGTTCACATCCTCATTACAATCATGTAGTGCCACTATGCACTCATCCTGGTTTTTCCCCGTCACTTCAATAAGCTGATAGTAAAAGTCACACGTTAAAATATCCAAATTATCATCATAAAGTAAGAGTTAGTACCACCACAGATTCCAAGAAAGCATGCAGTTGTGTCAGAGCAATTTAAAATCCTGAATAAAATTATCTACATTTCACAGAACTGCTTAGGATTCACATAAGAGGCAGGATGAAACAGAAATTTAAATAGTAATCAAGAAAACACTTTTTTCCCCCTTTAACCCAATGCCTACAGCAAATGCTGCCACCCCAGACAAAACTGTATATGAAGGTAATGATGTAAGAGACCAAGACAGACCAAGACATCCCCCTCCTTATCTCACTCTGTAAGCACAGTCATCAAGTAAAATGTGGTGGAGAACAGATCCATCTGGAAAAAACATCCAGACTAAGAAAAAGGTTAATTGTTTTCAGTCAGATCAGCTCCTTCAATCCATTTTAGCAGAAGGACAAAAACAGGCTAAGCAATGGCTGCTTAAGAAAGCTGTTACTCAATTATGTCCTGTGGACTTACAGTTCACATCCTACAGTGTAAGATGGATATAATCAAGTATCTGTCATGAGGCATCTAGTACCTCCACCCAAAGAGGAAAAAAAAACAAAATATGAGCTAGAAATATATATACGTGTGTAAAATATTGTAGATTTCCTATGAAGAATTTAATTCTTAGCCTTCCTATCAGCAGAGCTACAGACACTATTGATCAGGGGCCTTTGGCTTCAGGACATATAAGACTTCACTTCTGGCATAGCAGCCAAAAAAGTTTATAAACAAGAACAACAAAAATCAATTAACAGTGCTTCAGAAAAGGTTTTACCAAAGAAAGGACATCTGAAAATCTGCCCCTCTGCTGCATCAGTGCATTCACAATAACTCTTCTTCTAGGTGTGTTCCTACGTTCTACATGAGCTGTGATGTGTACACCAAAATAAATAATCTGAGCAAAACGGGTAGTTGAATACTCAATACTGCTTGAATAAATTATCTCAGCTATAGCTGTGTAATAGAAGCTTGAATATATACACCCAAAGCTCAGCATGGTAGAAGAAATGGTGTATGATTTCATTTTCAATGTGTAATACTATCATTTTAATATATACACGGATTTGGGAGGCCAGATTTAAAAAAAGAAAAAAAGAAAGAAATAAGAAAACCACACACACTTTTAAGCTATGATTACATTTTTTACTTTTCCTGAAAAACAGCTGGCATTTTTAGCAAATCAGTTTACACAGGTGACAAATTATTACCACGTACATGGAGACCAGCTGACTCTTTATTCTCAAGATCATTAAATACCAGGACCATACTAGAAATACAGAATCTGGAATAGACATGCACAGTGAGTTTTGGCTGAAAGGTTTGTCTACAAAGGAAAATACACCATCCAGAGTTATATTATCACAGGATGTCTTATAAGCAGACTTTTAAAGTCCAATAAGAGCATCTTCTCCTAGTTGTGTCATTTGCACAAAGGTTTCATCTAAATCAGAAACAGCTGCTCTAGCTCCAAAACATAAGCTAGCCTAGGAACACCTTATTGCAGGACATTAAAACCTCCGTACTGCAAGAAACATACTTGTTTCACTTTATCTTCAAAATCTGCGTCGTTCTTATCGTAGATCATCTGAGCAAGACGAATCTGTTCTGCTGTTGCCTGAAAAATGCAAACATCCAAAAAGGTATTTTTTTAAGTATCTCCTAGCATCACTATATTTCTCTACAGAGTCTCAGAAAGAACATACACAAAAAGCATAGAGGTGCTACAAGGAAAAGATTAATGTTTCTACCTTTACATTCATTTTACAGTTGTTGAGGTTTAACTCGACAGGTGGCTTATAACCACACAGTCATTCGCTCATTCCCCCCCCCCCTTCCCAGTAGGATGGGGGAGAAAATAAAAATGAAATAAAAAGTAGAACCCATGGGTTGAGATAAAACTATTTGCTAAGATAGAGAAA